CCCCCCCCCGTGGGGGGGGGGGGGGGTGTGTGCGTGCGAGTGTTTGTGCACCTTTGTACCCCACATTTGTGTTCATGTTTTTTTCATATCTTTCTGTTTGGATTAGGTACCATGTTCCACGGTCTTGGTTCAAGCAATCAGGAAACATTCTGGTGATATTTGAGGAGAAAGGTGGAGATCCAACTAAGATTAGATTCTCAAGACGAGTAATCACGGGTGTCTGTGCACATGTTTCAGAAGATCACCCTTCTTTTGATCTTGAATCTTTTCAAAAAGTTGGAAACGAGAATCCCAAAAACAAAGCAACTGTCCAATTAAAGTGCCCCATCACTACTCGGATCTCTGCCGTCAAATTTGCCAGCTTTGGAACTCCTACAGGGATGTGTGGATCGTATGCCAAGGGAGACTGCCACAATCCCAATTCAGTTTCTTTGGTTGAAAAGGTATGGAGCACTGACTTTGTCATTCGTTTGATGATGTTACTACTGGTTTTATTAATTTGTTGAAATGTTTTTATTCTCTTTGGTACAATGGTTTCTTCCCTTCTAGCTGATTAAAAGATGATCCAAGCATCTTAGTAGTTAAAGGGTGCTTACCAATTTGGTCCTGTCAATTCAAGGTTCTGGGAGGAATGGTATGGGTGTTAGCTTAACCTTTAATTGTTATTCGCACAAAGTGATTGTCATTTGATTCAATCCCACATTGATACGGTTGTTAGCCAGACATTTTTCCACTCTAAGGAAATTGTCGATAAAGATCCATGATAGTAAGGCATGTATAATATCATAAGAAATCTTAAATAGGTTCTTTTGTTTTTGGCAAAAGCTAGTATTGGACCGATGGTAAGAAAAATACTCTTTGGCCTAAAGCACCAATGACCATAGAAATTGCCAAATACTCTGTCTCTCTCTCTTCAACTTTTGAAGTTACTTATAATTATTATCGTTATGGCATATATGAACACTTTTGCAGGTGTGCCTAAATAAAAATGAGTGCGCCATAGAACTTACGGAGGAGAATTTTAATCTGGGGTTGTGTCCTAGCGCAACAAAGAAACTTGCTGTTGAAGTAGTGTGCAGCTGAAGTTGCCAGTGCCAGCACATACATAAATCGACTGCACGTTGAACTGTTTGTTTTACACTACTACAGAGAAACCCTGCGGTTTTGTCATATGTTTGTATTATTCTTTATAGTAAATTATAGGCATCAAGACAATAAGTGCCGATTCAAACTATTTTATGTGAGTATATTTCCTCTGTGAGAGAAAGAAGAATTCCAAGTTTACATGATGTTTGTCTTATCCCTCTGAACCTGTTTGCCTAAAGCATTGCAGGAGTTCGCTATTAACACAAGTCAGTGTCCTCTTTTCCCTCTAGTTTTAACTCGAACTTTGACACAGCTTTATTTTATTCATGCATATCAAATTATTTTTCTCAAGTGAAAATATCATAGACGTAAAGAAGCAGAGAGCTGGAAGACTCTCTCTCTGTCTCTCTTTCTCAATGGAAGATGACCGTGAATTGTGAAGTGGGCAATACAGCTTTTGTGATATGCGAAGCTGCTGAGGGATAGCTCTTCAATGATCAATCGGTGACGGCGAAGAGTCAAGGGGCGCAATTACAGCTTTAGGGGAATAGTGAAACCGAAGTTTTAATGTTTTGTTTATGCTAAATCCATGTGGATAGGGTTGTAGTGCATTCATTTCAGGATTCAATGTAATCCAAATTTTAACAGTCGCATTTGCATTTTAATTTGGTCATTTGATCTTAAATGTAGTATCTTCCGTCCAAATCTTCTCATCATGGTACACACATTTATCATTGATCACGATCTAATAATCGTACACAATATCTACTAATCAATCTTATGCATATGTTGAATCGACCATTTGAGTAAACTTATTTAGTAATANATGGCGAAGAGTCAAGGGGCGCAATTACAGCTTTAGGGGAATAGTGAAACCGAAGTTTTAATGTTTTGTTCATGCTAAATCCATGTGGATAGGGTTGTAGTGCATTCATTTCAGGATTCAATGTAATCCAAATTTTAACAGTCACATTTGCATTTTAATTTGGTCATTTGATCTTAAATGTAGTATCTTCCGTCTAAATCTTCTCATCATGGTACACACATTTATCATTGATCACGATCTAATAATTGTACACAATATCTAATAATCAATCTTATGCATATGTTGAATCGACCATTTGAGTAAACTTATTTAGTAATAATTATGTTTTGATACACACTACCTTTTAAGAATAAATCAATAGTATGGGATATGTTGGTATCAATGAATGCTTCTTCTTTCCTCTTAATTTTTAATTTGGGGTTCCCCTTGGAAGAAAAATTATATAAAACAGACAAATGATTACTTTGTAAACGCATAATACATATACTACCATTTTGAAAACTTTCCTCTCTCTCTCTCTCTCTCTCTCTCTCTCTCTACCATAAACAGATCATTAGAGCTGACAATTTTTGTGTATATGACCTTTCGCCACAATGCAACTAGGAGAAGACAATCATTTTCTACTGAGTAATGTAGTCTTTTCAACAAAATAAAGTTCTAGATTTAAATGCGCAATAGCAACTAGAATAGAAACAGTAAGGTATATCTCACTCCTAGTGACAAACTCCTGAAAGTCGACACCCAACTCAAGGTTGAAGCTTATTGCCACTAGGCAAGTCCAGAGTCTTTAATGAAACCATGCTCCTTGCGCGCAACTTTTGGAACCATTGTGTACCTAGTAGTTTTACGAGCCAAATGAAGAGTCAACCAAATCCTAGACATGGTTAATGCTGATGGACTACATCTCATCATGCACATTATTAATCCACTCTCTACAAGCAAGTGATGTTAGTCTTTACAACTATTGTAAAATCATCTCACGAAGTAATCATGAAAATCTTCCGTCTCCATCATCAAGTGACGTCGAGGAATAAATTCATCCATGATTTAACACAACTAGTGATCTTGTAAATTTTTATCCAATAGTAGTAACCACTCACTGAAAAGTTGCTCGCACGGGAATTAATCCACTGTTAGGCAAGAAGTTCCTACGGGAACTAATTTACAAGCAGGTAAGTTGCTCCCTCTCTTCCCAGGAGGATGAAGAATTAGTTATGGCACCTTAACTAGGCTAGTTGATTCACCTTCCTTAGGATTCTCTATGTTAGGTCTAAGACAGTGTTTGACAATTTCATGACTTGTATTGTAGCTATAGGTTTGTGACGAAGATGTCATACGGTTTGACGTTTTCAAAATACTTCAAGCTCATTGGGAGTTGTATCTAGGTTTAGAAAATTTGTATGTTAGACACACACCCTTAGAACTAGGTTAACATGTTCTTGAAGTTGGCATAGACAACTAGCTTCTGGAATAGGGCTGGTCAACCATGTCTTTCAGGTTAAAAACTGATGTTGGAGCTAGCCGTTGAGCCCACCCTTATGTAAATGAGCTTTTGATCAAATAGGGGCCTTTTGTCAAACTTAAACTCAGAAGAGAGTCGTTTTTAAAATAATTCCTAAACTCAAGTACGCTTAAAAAAACGTCATTCCAACTGATCTTTTTAGGTAAAAAAAGGTCATTACAATCAACGTCTTTGATGATGCACAAATTAGTTTTATGCACCATCTGTTGAGTAATTAATGATTAATGCAGTAATTAAGTAAAAGAGTAACACAAACAAAACAAAGATGTAGAGTGGTTTGGTCGACGTGACTTACTTCACTATAAAGGGCTAGGATGACCTGGTGTTTTATTATTTTGAGGAGTGTAAGGAGATCAGGGGAGAGTAATGGAGGTACTAGGTATGAGAGAGAGATGAGAGTGATGGCAGATGTGTTCGATGCCCTCCAAGTATTGGCGAGACTTACAATTTATAGTGCCTCTTAATAGACTGAGGCGTCTTTTCAGTAACTAAGTGACTAATCTGGTGGAGTTGGTGCTATCTTTTCAATGGATGAAGCGGTTGCGGAGCTCTCCTTAAAATCAGGTCAAAGGATGACGTGGTGGTTGACTGTTTCCAAGGAGGCGTAGATGAGGCTCTTGGGATGGTGCTCCCTACTCCTTAGTGATGTAGCTCCCTGAAACTGATGAGCTTGATTGGGCGTGGGCCTCTTTTGGGCTGAACCCATTGAATTTTTTCTAGTTAAACTCTTAATTCAAATTGGGCTTATAACTTGAGTTGGGCCTAGCACATCGTTTTCCCCCAATGCCCTGTGTCTAATGAAATTTTGAGAAGAGGGCATTTAGTTGAATTTAAATTCTCGCTGATAGAGACTCCCTCTGACTGAAAACTCTTTCCCTTCCTGATATATAAACTCCTTTTGTCAGTAGGACATCTTCAACTATATAAACTCCCCCACTTTATTTTCTTTTAGAATTTCAAAATGCCCTAGGCCATAAATTGGGAATTTCTTCTTTCTTTCCTTATTTCATTCATTTTGAGAGAGGATTCCTAGTGAGGTCCCAAGAATCAAGGCAACAGGCAAGATGAGTGGGGGCTTGTGATCCCATCCTAGACTCGAGTGCTCAAAGATCAAAGTCAAGTGACGAAGAGGAGATGCGAGATGGAGTGATCCATGTTGATGTCAGAGCCCCAGGTGAACCTCATCGAAACATGGGGTCTAATCAGCATTGGAGAGGCGGTGACCCAAATAGGTGTTGAAGGCAAGATGGGTATCCATAGCAAGACAGTAGGGGTGTATTTAGGTGAGGCAACATGTGCGTTGTTCGGTGAGGCAGTAGGGGCGCCATTCGACCAGGCAAACCAGGCGGTGAGCGCTGAAAGCGAGGCGACCCAGTTAGTGAGGGTCGAAGGGGAGGTGACCTAGGAGATGGACGCCGAAGTTGAGGCATCGTGGGTGATGGGCGCCAATGACGAGACGTCATGGTCAACGGGCACTGAAGTTGAGGCGGCATGGGCTGGTGGTTTTACTGATCTTGGTGGAGGGGCGTTTCTAGGCTATGAGCGCAGGCAGTGGAGACCGCATATGGCTTCGCCAGATGTTGGGCATGGCTAGGTACACGCGCCAGTGGCGTCGCCAGGCACTAGGCGCGGCCAAATGGGTGTACGAGCGGTGTCATCGGGGCAAGGATGCAAACGGATGACGTCGGACACCGATTTGTCAATGTTGGGTGATCCAAGCATAGCGGCGGAGGTTGGGCACAGAGCTAGGAAGCCTGGGTACGGGGTTATGGAGCAGAGTACGACAGAGGATACTAGTGTTTCTAATGACACTGATTCTGGTCAAATGTCGGATGATATGGTTCGTTCAGGTGAAACTCCATGGAATTAGATCCCTCAAGGCTCTCCTAGTAGTGGCCTAGACAATGCTTCTCTTCTCCCTCACAATAGTAAACATCGAGAAAAGGTAACTCTTGATGACGACAGATTCAAAGTAAGTACCATTTCTAGTACCCTCAACACTAATGCTGATAGTCTTCGGGTTGTTTCTACTTATGATATCCTTCCAACGATGCTGTCTCGATGTTCTGAAATGGGTGAGCTTGATTGTGATGACTCCTCTAGAGACATTGCTTTTATGAGGAGGTACTCGAGGTTGGGCTGAAGTTTCCCATGCCTTATTTTGTTTGTTGCATTCTTCATTATTTTTCACTTGCGATAGGAGGTTGGTGCCTAACAGTTGGAGAGTTTTGCTGGGATTTCTGGCACTGTGGAGAAAGGTGCATCATAAGGATGCTTCTCCTGAAGAGTTTTGTGCGGCTTATACTTTGAGTGAGACTCCGGCTCCCAATCGTAGCTGGTACTGCTTCACCTCAAGGGGAGGTAAACTGATTACTGGACTGCGTTCCAATTGCCATAGCTGGAAGGCTCGCTTTATGTTTGTTGGAAGAGAGTGGACTTCAGAGGCTGACAGAGCTTTGGTACCAACAAGATGTGACACTCCCAAGAGAATTTGTATGCCTACTCTTATTCTTTTTCCTTCACCTTTTTGCAAATGTGTATTCATTGCATTCCTTCTAGGCTCCTCAGTGCTCTCGAAAGACCAAGAATGGAAGTTGCAAGATGTGAAGGCTCATCCTATGAAGGACTTTGGGACCCTCATGCTTAAAGAGGGTGGAGCAAGAGATTCCCCTGCTGGAAGTGCTAGGTTTGGGGCGCCTTCTCCGAGGCCTGGTGGTTCCTCTTTAAAGAGAAAAGGTATGGTGATTCCCTTAGACTCCCTTTATTTGTTTAGTTTTCCTTTTAGGATTACACTTTATCCTTCTTACAGTGGATAAGACAGTGGTGGAGTCCCGTTATTCCACTAGGAATGCTCTTCCTCCTAAGGTGGCAAGGGTGAGGGATACTCTGGCAAGCCTCTCTCAGATGACGCCTCTTGTGGTACCTCCCCAGTCAGTGACTCCTTCAGAGGTGATCCCCACTCTAGAGACTCCCCACACGGCCATACCTCCTGCCCACCATTCATCAACTCCTCTTGCGAGGACTTTTAAAGGGGTAGCCACTCAGATTGTCTCCATGTTGGATAACGTGCGAATTGTTAGGGACCGACTTAGGAGATTTGTGTTTCTTGCAGACATTAGTATGGTTGGTGCTCGGGGCACTGAGGGTATCATTGACACTGCTCTGGAAGGCTTGGCCTAGGTAAGGGTCTATTTTCTTTGTTACTCTTGCCTCTCCTTTAGGTACTAACATTATTTTGTCATTTTCAGGTTTCAGCTGCTTCTATATGCCTTTTTTCGAGGGTTGTCCAATTTAGCCAGCTGAGCTCAACTATTAGGGTAGAGAGGCTTGCTCATGAGGCTGCAAAAAGGGAGCTTCTTGCTGATCTTGAGGCTGATGATAAGGCTTCCGAGGCTGAGCTTGTGGCAACCCGTGAGAGGGCCGCGCTCAGAGAGGCTGCTTGCACAAGGGCCGAAGTAGAGCTTGTGGTGACTCGCGAGAGGGCCACTAAGCTTGAGCTTGAGCTTGTGGTGACCCACAAGAGGGCCACTAATTTTGAGATAAATGGTGAGGCTATCTATTTGAGAGTAGAGGCAGAGTTGAAGGCAACTTGTAAGAGAGTTTCCCCGGGCTGAGGCGGATTTGCAATTGGCTCATGAGAGGGTCACCAAGGCTGAGACTAATTCAAAGAGTGGCCTTGCAGATGCCTTCATCGATGTCTACGAGGAGCTTCGGGGAAAGATCTCTACTGCTTTCCCTAATATTGACATTTTAGGCTTTGTGCAGTATAAGGCGTCTGATGGTGGCGACTCTGACGATGCAGAGGATCAAGAGGAAGAGAACGATGACCATGAGAACAGTTATAGTGCTAGGGATTTTTGATTTTTTTCTTTTTGTAGAAAGGCAGTGTGTAGCCTTATTTTGTAAAAGTGATTTTTTACCACTGATGTTCACTTGAAATAGAATGCAAGGATGCAAGAAAATTTTTGANATAGTTATAGTGCTAGGGATTTTTGATTTTTTTCTTTTTGTAGAAAGGCAGTGTGTAGCCTTATTTTGTAAAAGTGACTTTTTACCACTGATGTTCACTTGAAATAGAATGCAAGGATGCAAGAAAATTTTTGAAGTAAATTTTAGAAAATTTTATTTGATGACTGCTCATGCTAAGCAATGGTGGGTAATAACCTAAAAAAGGAACAAGAAAAAAAAATAAAATCAAGCCCCTCAGCTTTATCACCTCTGCCCTCCTTAAGTGTTATTGATAATACCGCTTCAGATGCTCAGCATTCCATGAATGAAGTTAAAATTTTCCTTTAGAATTCTGGATCCTATAGGTTCTTGGTCTCACTATTTCTATTATGTGGTACAGTCCTTCCCAGTTTGGTCCAAGCTTCCCTTCCCACGAATCCTTCATGGCGATGATTACTTTTTCGAGGACTAAGTCTCCTGGTAGGAAGAAACAAGGCTTTACCCTCGAGTTGTAGTATCTTGTCATGTTCTACTTGTACTCTATATTCCGGACCATAGTCATTTCTCTTTCCTCCTCCACCAAGTCGAGGTTGACGCAGAGTCCTTCCTTATTGATGATGGAGTCGTGGTGTTGGATCCTTAGAGAATGTATCCCGATTTTTACAGGTATGACTGCCTCAATTCCAAAGGCGAGTGAGAAAGGAATTTCTCTAGTCGAGGTCCTTGGTGTCGTTCGGTAGACCCATAATACACCTAGGAGTTCGTCCACCCAGAGACCTTTGTATTTTTCCAGCTTCGTATTTAGGTTGTGTAATACTATTCTCACTGTGACCTCTGCCTATCCGTTTGCCTGCGGGTGTGCTGGTCTAGAATGAGACTGCTTTATCTGGAAGTCGGCGTAGAATGAGTTCAGCAGTCTGTTGTCGAATTGTTTGGCATTGTCACTGACGATGGCGTGGGGTACTCCGAAGTGGCAGAATAATTTTTTCAAATGAAGTCCTTGACCTTTGTGTCTGTAATCTTTGCTAAGGGCTCGGCCTCGACCCACTTTGTGAAATAGTCGATGGCCACCACCACGAACTTGTACTACCCCCAGCTGAGTGGCAAGGGGCCTAAGATGTCGATGCCCCATTTGGAAACAGGCCATGGACTTGTGATGACTTTCAACTCTTTTGGTGGTTGCTAGGGCACAGTGGCAAAGCGTTGGCACTTATTGCATTTCCTGGTGAACTCCTGTGCATCCTTAACCATGCTAGGCCAGAAGTAACCCTATCTAATTACTTTGTGGGCTAGGGGCGTCCTCCAGAGTGGTTTCCACAAACTCCTTCATGAATTTTTCATAGGGAATAGTTAGCTTCCTTTGAGGAGAGGCAGCGTAGTAGTGGTAAGGAGTAGCCTTTTTTGTACAGGATGTCCTCTAGGATGGTGAACTTGGAGGCTCTCATCCTGAGCTTCTTTGCTTCTAGCAGGTCGTCTGACAACACGCCCTCTTGGAAGTATGCCTTTATTGGGGTCATCCAGTTTGACTTGGCAAATGTGCAATTGACGCTAGTGGCTTCCATGTCTAGCCTGCTTGGTTTGAACTGGTGACCAATGAATGCTAGTTCTGGTGGGGCGTCTGAGGATAAGATGAGCCTAGCTAGTGCATCTGGAACAATATTGTCTTCCCTCGAGATATGATGGATTTGAAAGTGGTGGAACTTAGTCAACAAGGTTTCCATCATAGCAAGGTGCTCCTACATTTTAGTTCCTTTTGCTTCGAACTCGCCCTTTACTTGGTTAACTATTAACTGAGAGTCACTGTAAGTGATGAGGTGTTGGGCTTCCATTTTAATTGCCAACCTTAAGCTAGAGAGGAGGACTTTATATTATCCTTCATTATTGGAGGCTATAAAATGAAGCTTTATAGCATACTTGAGTGAATTGTCATCAGGGCTGATCAATAGCAAGCTCGCTCCACCTCCGTCACTGATCGAAGAGCCATCCACGTAAAGCTCCTAGTGAGGTGGGAGAGAGGGGGACTTGGAGGCCGTAAGGGATGTCAAGGTGTTTGCTGTTGGTGCCAGGATAATCTGGGTGCCCAGGGAGCCCATGCATCTGGTCGGGCTTCTTGAGGTGTCAAGGTTTCGTTGTCTTCTTCCTCCACTGGTGTGAGCTCGACAATGAAGTCCTTGGTTGTCTTCTTCCTCCACTGGTGCATCTGGTCAATCTTCTTGAGGTGATTGTGCTTTGATGGCTGCCCTTGGTTGGTACTGCACATCGAACTTACCCAGCTCTACTGCCCACCTTAGGAGTCTTCCAGAAACATCTGGCTTCCTCAAGACTCTCTTTAGAGGCTGGTCTATAACGATGACGATGGTGTGACTCTGGAAAAAATGTTGGAGACGCCTTGCTGTTGAGATCAGGGCGAGTGTTAGCTTTTCTAGCTCTGAATATCTTATTTATGCTCTTAGGTATGCCATGCTCACATAATAAACAGGCTTTTGCACTCATTCGTTGTCCTAATAAGGACAAAACTTACTGTCGATGTAGAACCAGAGAGGTATAAGTACAAAGTTTCAACTGACATGGCATGTAAAAGGAGCAGGGGCTTAGCCAGATAAGCTTTTAACTTCTAAAAGGCTTCCTCTGTGTTAGGTCCCCACTCGAAGTCTTTTTGAAGAGTTTTGAAGAAGGGTAAGCACTTATCTGCAGACTTGGAAACAAATCCGTTGACGGCTGCAACTCTCCCAATTAGGCGTTGTAGCTTCTTGGTTGTGGTGGGTGATCTCATATCCAGGATAACTTTTATCTTGTCTGGATTCGCCTAAATTCACCTTTGGTTGCTCATAAAGGCTAAGAACTTTCCTGATCTGAGGCCAAAGGTGCACTTATCAAGGTTTAGCTTCGTGTGGTATGACCTTAGAACGTCAAATGTTTCCTAAATGTGGTCTACGTGATTTGCCGTGGCCAGGCTCTTCACCAACATGTCATCCACGTACACCTGCATTGTTCTCTCGATCTGAGACTGGAACATCTTGTTCACTAGTCGTTGGTATGTGGCTCCTGTATTTTTCAATCCAAAGGGCATGACCCTGTAGCAATAGGTTCCCTTTGGAGTGATGAATGATGTCTTCTCATAGTCTGAGGGATGCATGCTGATTTGGTTATACCCAAAGTATGCATCTAGAAAAGTGAGCAGTTCGTGGCCTACAGTGGCATCGATGAGAATGTCAATTCGTGGCAATGGATAGTTGTCTTTAGGGATCGTCTTGTTGAGTTCGATGAAGTCGACACAGAGGTGCTATTTTCCATTAGCTTTGGTCATCATCACTACATTTGACAGCCAAAATGGATAGGCAACTTCTCTAATTGTTCCATTTTCTATTAGCTTTTCCACCTCCTTGTCCATTGCCTACACCCTCTCAGTGGAGACGCTCCTTAGCTTTTGGTGAACCGGCTTGTATTGAGGGTCTACATTAAGGCGGTGTGTGACGACCTCAGGGTCGATGCCCACGAGGTCCTCATGCAACCATCCAAATTGAGCCTCAAAAAAATTGTGAGCTGTTGGGCTATATCCTCAGGAATGGAGGAACCAATGTACACCCTTTTGTCTCGAAACTTCGCATCCAGGACCAATAGTGTGAGCTCCTTCATTGGTTCTCTTCTCTCCAATGCCCATTATCTCTAGGGTTGAGCACCTCCACTTGTAGGGCTTCTTGTGGCTTCCTGGTCTTCATAGAGCAGACCTCGCATTCTTTTGTAGCAACCTGGTCTACCCAGATCTCTCCAATTCCATTTGGGGTTGGAAAATAGAGGATTAGGTGATAAGTGCAGGGCACGGCTCTTAGGGTGTTAAGAACAAGTCGTCGTAGGATGATGTTGTAGGCTGACGGACAATCTATCACCAAGAAGTTCACCATCACCGCGGAGCTTTCGGGTGCTATGCCGGTGGTGACTGGCAAGGTGATGGATCCTAGGGGATACACCTTCTCCCTTGAGAATCCAATAAGGGGCGACTTGATGGGATGCAACCTTTCTTTCCCAAGGCTAAGCTTGTCATAGGCTTATGCGAACAAGATGTTCGTAGAGTTGCCGCTGTCTACGAGAATCCTTCGTACCTGGAAGTTGGCCACAATCATAGTTAGCACCAGCGGGTTATCATGGGGGTGTTGAATTCCTTCCAAATCCTTGTCTGAAAAGGATATAACCTCGTCATTTTCTTGCTTGCGTGCCTTGGACAGGCGCATATTGTCAAGGTGTCTAGTTTTTCTAGCATGGGTCTTCATGGCAGAGAGGGATTTTCCTCCTCTTGAGAGCCCTCTACAGATGGTGTGAATTTCTCTAAGGGGTTACTGATCCTCCTAATTATGAGGTGATGGCGGTGCTTAACCCCTACCAGCAACATATTAGCGTAGTTGACCACGTTGTATGAGCTCTGTAATTTGTCTTTTGAGCTCAAAGTGGTCATCGGTGTCCTGGACATGATCCCTCTGGAAGCAATAGTACTTGTTCGAATTCCTGCAGTTTGGTGGAGACTTTATTCTTCCAGGCCACTTTGCTGCGAGGTTATCCTGGATCTAGAATAGGATGTGCCTGATAGTGGCGTTGAGGAAAGTGAAGAATTGTCGCTCCCTTTGAGGGGTAGGACCAAGGCGGTCTTTGGCAGACACCCTTTCCGTCTTGCCTCATTTGGTTCCACTCTCCTTCTTGTCTTCTTTGTCTCTTTCCTTTGTTTTTTCTCCTGTTCATGAGGATTCACCTCGCTTGGCCCTGGTGATGTCCTCAACATTCATATATTTCTGGGCTTTTGACAATAGTTCTAGTATGCTTTTTGGTGGTCACTTCATCACTGAGAAGAGGAAGCTTGATGAACGAAGATCTCCCAAGAAGGCGGTCATGGTGTCTTTATCATCGGGTTCTTCAATCTGGAGGATCTCCTCGTTAAAATGAGTGAGGTAACTCCTTAGACTCTCGTCTCGATCTTGCTTTATGCTGAGTAGGTGGGTGGCAGTCTTCTAGTGGCAAAGTCCTCCGATGAAGTGTGACACAAATGACCTGCTCAACTCGGCAAAGGAGCCAATGGAGGCTGGGATGAGCTTGGCGAACCATTGTCGGACAGATCCCTTCAGGGTAGTTGGGAAAGCCCTACACATGATTTCGTCAAGAACATTGTGTAGTTGCATTAATGACTTATAGGTTTCTAGGTGATCAAGTGAGTCTTTTGTGCTGTCAAAATTTTGTACGGATGACATTTTAAATTTCTTGGGAAGGGGGTAGTTTGCTACATTTGCGTGTGTCAGTTTTATTTACGAGGTAACCCACAGTCTCTGGTCCTTGCGCCTTCATGATATCGAAGACGTCGCCCAGTTGGTTCTGTACTTCCTTGATTTTTTCGACCCAAAGATTAGGGGCTTTTTTGGAATTTTCATGGAAATGGCTCCCGTGCTCCACACTTTGGTTTTAGCCCTTATCCTCTTGGAAACGAGGGTCTCCACCATGGGAAGAGGGAGATAGAGAAGGAGGTAGAGCTGCCTCATAGTTCTGATGAGGGGCTCCCAGGGGCCCACCCAAGTGGGGAGCTCCTTGATGCCTAAGGCGTGGAGCTCATCTGGCTTGATGTCTTTGCTTGACAAACTTCCTTGTTGTTTCCTAACCTATAAACATCACCTTTTAGCATGTATAGTATATGAATGAAGGAGAGTGTCACTCTCCTAGGGATGATGTTAAAAGAAAGGGCAATGGAATGGTGGATGAATAAGATTTCAAATATGAGTATGTGTGAACAAAAGTGCTCCCCAATCGCAAGGAGAATTTCGCGGATCGTGTTTTACTTGGTGGTATTCCAAGGTCGTTTCCACGGGGAACGAAGTAAACCGAGATGAAGATGATTTTGGGAGAAAGAAAGTGTAAAATCTTTGATTGTTGGAAGTTATTTGGTAAAGTTGTTTTGATACTAGTAAAATGAGAAACAAATGTTGACAAATCCAAGAGGTCACTCCAATAGGAATACCGTCTCAACTCGAAACCCTCCTTCAATAGAGCATGAATGAACGATTGATTCGTGGGAAGCTAGGGGTAAGATTGGTAAGTATCTAAGCATAAACCGTGACTAGGCCTACAGAATATCAAAGACTCACCAAGTTATCCACCCTCAACCCTGTCAAACCGAACCATTGAACTCTGAAAGAGGGGAGGAGAATGAGTTGAAATGGTATACCCAAGTGGAGGTTCCTCTTGGTTTTGCCAACTAAGAGATTTAGCTATTCATGCTTAAAATAAAGACAACAATATGATGAGAAGACATTATGAAAAAATAAAGACTAAAGCTAAGCATAAACGAATTGCATAAATTTAACTTCCGGATAACCACCTCTTACTAAAGATTGGATGAGAAACTACTCACTCTTCATNAGTGGAGGTTCCTCTTGGTTTTGCCAACTAAGAGATTTAGCTATTCATGCTTAAAATAAAGACAACAATATGATGAAAAGACATTATGAAGAAATAAAGACTAGAGCTAAGCATAAACGAAATGCATAAATATAACTTTCAGATAATCATCTCTTACTAAAGATTGGATGAGAAACTACTCACTCTTTATGGCTTGTTAAAGCCAGAAAAGTGAGTGATGCTCATCCCTCCAAGTAGATGAGTTACAAGGTAAAACACTTTACACAAGGAGCCGATCTTCGACAAAGAATGAGTGAATCACGTTCCACCCTTCACGGCTTTGGTAAAGCTCTAGAAAAGTGGAAGAGTTTCACTCCTCTAAGGGAAGAAGGAAGCTCAAGCAATGAAAATAAAATAAAGCAATAACACAATAAAATAAATCAATACTTAAAGTAAAAGAAAACAATAAATTAAAAGAAAACAATAATACAATAAAAGAAAACAATACTTAAAGAAAGCAATAAGCAATAAAGAAAACAATAATACTTTTAGAGGGTTTTTCACTACCAAAAGATGAATGCTTTACAAGTCCTAAGGGGTGGTATTTATAGGCAACAAGGGAGGGTGAAAGTCTTGTTAGGTGGCTTTGAATCTTGTTAGGTGGCCTTGAAAAGTCTTGTTTGGTGGCATGAAAGTCTTGTTAGGTGACCTTGAATCTTGTTAGGTGACATGAAAGTTTTGTTAGGTGGCCTTGAATTCTTTGATCCCCCTTTGTTTTGAGCTTTGATAATTGGCACCCCAGTAGTTTGTAGCTTTAATGCAATTGGCTCTCCAGTAGTTTGTAGCTTTGACGTACAAAACCCTGAAAAGAACAACAATT